AGTTTATTATTGATTTAATTAACTGTTCTAATTTTGTACTTTGTAGCATTTACTCTATTTCAGTTCAAGCTTACGTCACGTCCTCTGTTATATCTGAACTAATTGTAAACTCAAGAGGGTTTCACGAAAGCGATCCTGTCCTAACGGAGTCTATATCCATAGCTAGTAGGTTTCGAAATTGTATTCATTCTAAGTAGTATAAGATGAGGGAGGATTGATAGTTTACTTTTCCCACGATGATATGAGTAGAATTCACGACTTAACTGAATTTCATTTAGCCTAGCCTCCCAAAATATACTATTATTCAAGATGGAATTGAGATTCTACCTCGCCTGGGTCTTATCAACAATTACTCTTGATATATTTTAAATAAGCTGACGTTGATTTGCTTCATTTTCCTACAATGATATGGGTAGAACTTACGTTTCCATATATATGAGATGTATTAATCCAATTTCGCTGTGAAATTCAACGGAAATATCGGATCTACTCAAATCACTGTGGAAAACTTCAATTTCCAGTTCCCTCATCACCATAAACGAAATAGGATGAATGCACCCCATAAATATTATCTACTGGTTGTCTCAAAAGACTACTTATTAAACAAAAAATAAGTAATGCAGTGATTGCCCTAGAAAATACAACTTTGCTTCATCGAAAATCCCACCAAACAATGCCATATGGGAAAATGTCTGGCCTTCCTTGAAATTCATATCTGCCCTGTGACCCAGGGGCACTCGTGGCAATGCGGCGTGGTGGTCAATGTGTTCAGATTATGTGCTGCACTGTCATGGTTTCAATTTCGCGGGGGTGTTGATGACACTAGTTCAGGCAAGGTCGAAATTGCACTCCACTATTGCATGGATAGGAATACATTTTTGGAAGGCTAGGAAACGTCCTTTATACTCATATAAATGTACGAGTCCCATTTCACTCATAACAAAATAGGATAAATAATCTTACATATACCCTTTCTGGTATCCTGTGAAAAACAATTAAGCTTACATCTTTCTCTTAACATAAATTAATCGTCTAGCAACACTAAAACAGAAGAATAAACCATATAATGTCCACTTGTTTGGTATACTTAAACAACATGAATTTTCATAAGTTCAGATAGCTTTGCCTAGATCATTTTTGTGGCTATCTGTATGTACGCTAGTACGAAACCACTAGTGATAGCCCTGAGTACTTATAACAAAGCGTATAATCTGTCTCTGGTCATCAAATTATAATAAACCTTTTAGGACTCAAATAAGCATTACTGAGATTGTGTAAACTATTGGTAAAACCATAACCGAATTGGTCACTAAACTGATATTATCATAGTAAATGAATCAACGCTTAACCTTTATAGTATTGGTTTCACCTCGTTTTCGCAACTTGGTCGGAGCGACAAGGGGATCTTGTGGAGCATACCTAGTTCTACAACCTTCTGCATGGGAATCCCCAAGAAATCTTGGGGAACCTACCTAGTTTTGTGTCCTCTGCCAGAGAATGTATCACGATTTCCAGCATCAGACCGTTGGGAATATACTAAGGTAACGATCCGATGCTGTAAATCCTCATAAATACTACTCGAGACAAGAAAACTCGTTGGCTTGAATATTGTTGTGACGATGATACCTCGATCTGATGATGTTCGTCATCTGACGGACGAAAGCTCAGCACCTTTTCACCGGAATCGAACGAGATTGCCTCGGAAACAGCGTCAGCATGATTGCTCCAGTAAAGCCAATCGACAATTGGTCAAGAGGAATCCGACGTCGTCTTCTGGCGGAACCGACCTTCGAATCTCTTCACCAAACTCTTTCACTTTAAATGGAAGTAAGTTCAACAATCATGAAATAAGCGATTCCTCGAAACCCAAATTTTCTTCCCTGCATTATGCCATTTCACACAAAATGTAATCCTGCTCACAACTTAAAGCAATTAGTCAAATCAGTTTTCATCTACAGTTTCTGTAATTAAGATTCCCTTTTGATATGTCTGACGAGAAAAGATTTGAATTAATTACTTTAGAAATATGAAGAGAAGCTGGGTTTCGGAGAATCCCTTATTTCGTTTGAGAAAACGGGAGTAAGGGATTCGTAGAGTGGCATCACCGTATACCGGAGGAGGTTTTTCTTTGACTTTTGTCTGTTGAATTCTGTAAATAAGACCTTGGCTCGCAATCCTACAACCCCTGTGACTCCATGCTGACATCGTCAGAGCCCAAAACAGGTATTTACGAACAAGCTTAAAATATAGTAAACCAATGAAGATACAAGAAGTAAGTAGGATATTAGCCGGCCACCTTTCTTAGTTTACTGTAATATGCTGATTCCTCATTAATAATGGTTTATGGCTCTGGCGATGTCACCCACATGACCGATTAAAGCTCGGCACGGAGTCTTTAGGGTTGTAGAGTGTTGAGCTGAGGTCTTCTTCACACAATTAAACAGACAAAGCCTCAAAACAACACTCCTTCGGTATCCGGTGAGGCCAATCTACGAATCCCTTCCACCCGTCTTCTCAAACGAAATGAAAGGTATGTCTGTAGTAATTAGCTTAATCTGCCGCATCCTAGTGTATCGGACCTGGGTCAAAATGGGCAAACCCCTATTTCATATTAGTAGCTGAATTCGCCTACAATTATATGAATAGATCACATGTTTTCATTGCATTTCACAGTGCAGTTTTTACCTCGCATGAGTCTCATCAACACGCCTAGCGGGACTTGAACCCGGGTTTTAGTAGAGCAGCGTATAATCGCGTCATGTCAATTAATACGCCACACTGCCACAAATGTCCTTGGGCTACAGGGCGGATGTGAATTTCAAGGAAGCCTTGGTATTTTTCATACTATATTTCTGCAGCAGGATTTTCTACGAAACAAAATTGTATTTGCTATAGCAATCGACTATATTGCTTATTTTTTTAGTTTCAGAACTAGGTAGGCTGTATTTTCCTAATTTCGTTTAAAGTACTAATGGACAGGTAGTTGAATTTTCCACGATGATATGGGTACGTTTCATATTTCCATTTGACGAATACAGCTCTTACATCAGATCTACTGTTAATCTCAAAGACCCACATATAAACTAAAAATTAGTAATGTATTCGATTGTTATAGCAAATGCAATTTTGCTTCATCGGCAATTCCACCGTAAAATGTGATATGTGAAAATGTTTAGCTTTTCTTAAGGTTTGTATCTGCCCTGTGATCCACAGGCATTTATGAAAGTGTGGCATAGTGGTTAACGTGTCGAGAGTATAGGCTACACTGCCACAACCCGGTCTCGAATTCTGCTATGGGTGCTGATAAGAACTATTCTTGCGAGGTAGTGACTGCAGTCTACTCCAGCCCGGATGAGAATAACGTTTGTGCAGCAAGACTATGAAGTTCGATAAAGACATAAGGCCTAATCATATGATTATGGGAAAATTCACCTAACAGTGCCTCATCACCTCAAATAAAGTAGGGTGAACACAGTTCTTATATCAAATCTTCTGGGAATCCCGAAATCGTTCCTATGAAGGGAAAAATAAAATACCAGAGCGTATCGCCATTTATTGTCATACTCTTAGAGTAAGCTATTCTGCTGATGCAAAAATTTGGCGAAAACGTCCCAAAAGACCGGCCTTAGTCAGGCTGAGCGGCAACTTTGACCTCGACTTGGTCAGCTAAATCTCTTCAAGAGGGATTCGACCCTTTGACTGGCGGACTTCTGCAATAAACTCGCTGCTCTCTGGGCCACACAACCCCAGTTTGGACCAAATTAGTGCTGACGACAAAGCGTTAAGATGCGACACAATAAAATGGCATCAGACTCGTTCACTTTAAAAGTACACAGCCACTGGTTGCCCAAATGGACGACTAAAAAATGAGTCGAGAAGATAGTGAGAACAAGATAGTAAACAGTTGCACACTTCATTGTCACAACCACGGAACCTCTGGAACAGGCAAGACTTTCAACAAATATCCTTTAAACGCTCCCGAAGACGGCTTGTTGCCTAGTTATCTCGGAGTGAAATACCGTGAACCTTCAGCAATGTGAGCCAGATACTTTGCATAATAACCGTTGCCGAAATTGCTTATGGTAGAGGGTAGAACGTCTCTCGCTACCAAAAGGTATGACTGGGTAAGTACGATTTCGTTTAGAAGTTGCAGACCCTGCTTCACTCGTTGCTCATCTGAATCATCCTTTGTCGAGGGTAGACAGACGGAAAGACTGACATTGATGAGGAGGACAGCAAAGATCAGCATTGAGCCGCTATTTCGCCAGGACTGTCAAGGATTTACACTATTTATTCTCTGATCGTGTATCCTTTTCATAAAGCGAGTGGAAAAAAATTATATATAGACAATAGTTCAAAGTCAGCCTGGAAAATGTCTGAAAGAATTAAGTACAAAAACGCAGCAACACTTTTTGATGTATTCGTCTGTCAAGCACAACCTTACAAGTTGGCCCGAATTCGTAGATTTATTTAAACAATGAGCTTAATCAAGGTCTGTTTAGGTGTATTCAAACTCGCATTATTTAATAAAACTAAAGGTCAGCCATCACAATCGACGTTCTGTCTACTTATTGCGACTACTTGTCTTATTATTAGGGGGACTTTCATTTCGTATGAAAAAGAATGAAGAAGAGATTAGTTGGTCGATCTCACCAGATGAGGACGGATGAATCTCGTTGTACTGCAGCCGT